CACTTAAGAACATTACTTCTTTACCTTTATGGCAGTGTGGATCATCATCTGTACGGATTTCAAAAGAGTTTCAGACATCACTTTTACAGGATTTCTAGTAGAAGAGCATTGACAATAAGTAAAAGAGTATTCTCGTTCTCCAAGCCCTTATTTTACCTTTCATGCTCTTGCTTATGCCAGGCCATCTGGGTTGTTCATAACTAGCTTAAAAGACAGAATTCTCAAAAAAATTCATTTTATTTATCTTGATTGTGTAATAAGAATTTTACTTTGAATTTTACGGTTATCTAATAATTGTATGAAATTAAATATTTTTAGCGCCTAAATGCTAAAAAAAGACCAGAATCAAATCTACATTAAGAGGCATCGTGCTATTTAAAATATCTCAATAAGCGGCAGGCTTGATAGTTAATGGGAATCCGTATTCAATTTGACTAAACTTAGGTTTCTTAGACTTAGCATTTTTGTCCTAAAGTATATAAGAGAGTCTAAACATATTTACGGCAGACGGATTTTATAGTTACTGATTAAGAATTTTGCCTCACATCCTAACTTAATGGAGGAATTATGGTCTCGACTTCAATACATTGGATATTCGAGGTTAGTCAAGCCTATTTATTGTACAAGTTTAAATCCAGAGCTGATAATTATGCTGCTGTAAAGTTTCTTTGAGTAAAATACGAAGTTTCAGGACGCATTTTGATGAAATGTATTTACAATATTTTGTTCAAGGCGATAGAGATGATTGTAGGAAAAATTCAATTACCAGACTTTGCCTACCTTAAACGACATAGGTTAAATACATTTCACTCCTTTGATTTATTTGTAGCCTCGAAAATCTATTTATGAATGAAAAATAATTAGGGTAATTGATTGTTCTAACAAATATAACTTTGCTTCATCGAGAATCCCACTTCAAAAAGTGTTATGGAAAAAAGACTGTCTATTAAAAAAATTGAAGCACGCCCTGTGACCAAAGAGTGACCGTAGCAGTGTGGCGTATTAGATAACTTATCGAGATTATATGCTGCACTATCACGGTTCAAATCCCGCTAATGGTGATGATGAAACCAATTCAGGCGAGGCAAAAATTGCAATCCAGCCTGAATGATAATACTTTTTGGGAAACAAGGCTATGTGAAATTTAATGGAAGCATGAGACCTACTCATATAATTGTGAAAAATTCAACTACCAGTCCTTCATCACCTTAAATGAAATAGGGTGAATACACCTCATATAGAGAATTACTAATGCCTTATTGATTGAGTTAAGGCTAGAGTGTGGAGCCACTTGCAAAATGATGTGGCACAACTGGTATGCTCAATAGTCTTTTAATTAGCTTCAAATTCCTTCAACAAATTTTTAAACGCGTTAACTCAATTAGATTCACTTTTGAGATTACGAACTCATAGTCATGTCTTTAGTTGCGCCATAAAGCCATGATGAATTTGGGCTGACTTTACAATCTGTTGTAATAGATCAGATTTGACAGATATTTGTGATTATTCACACCCATACTCACTTAAGCAAACAAGTGCTTAAATTTACATTAGAAGGAACCAACCATACCCTTCTATTTCATTTATTTTAGGTTCTTTTTGTTGTGACTATGTAATTATTCGATTTGAGTAAACTTGGTTTCTTAGACTGTGCAGAACAGCATACTGGTCTTTTTGACTTAGTTTTAGCCCGAAGTTTTCGTTAGAATAAGACCCAGCCTTCTCGATACCCGTCATATGGTAGCATATACGAGCGCTCTGCCTGTTTAAGTTGAAGCGAAGGAGAATTTCGCATGGACTGAGTAAAACGACTTTTGGTGAGATCGAACTACGATTTTCTTTATCAGGCATCTTAGCAGAAAATAAAAATCACTATTGAGTCTTGTTTCTATGTGAATATTTGCATGGTAATTAGCATATTATTAAGCCAGCACTTTAAGATAGTTTATTTCAAACAAAATATAAATAGAATAGGAGGATACCGCTAGTATTTATCAGTGTAAACGAAATTTTTTGACGTGAGACAACTTTAAAATGGGGCCATAACTGCTAGACAATGCTTAATCAGTATCACTAAGTGCCATGTTCTGTAGTAGTGCTATAGATCCAATGGAGCTTTGTCCGGTAATATTTTGTGTCAATCAATGTTTACACGTTGAGAGTTTTCATCTAGCATTCATAATTCAAATGCGCATTTTCGTGACTGATTTTGAATAAAATTTGGTCTACATAAAAATTATATACATGGAATGTGATTTCATCCGACATCCACTCTTATTGTATAAGTTTCTTCCCCATACAGCCTACTTTCTAAGGAAACGTTAACTTTATTTCCCATAGTAAATTAAAAGGTCATTATAGTCCATCGATTCGAAAATGATTATAGGCAAATTGCTGGTTTGAGTCCTAAAATTTATCGTAGATATGAAGACCAAGATGGTTTGGCCTCCGGTATGGTGGCAGTCAGCTTTCGATTTACAGAAGTGGGTTGACATCGTTTTTGCAACTTGGTCTTGTTGTCAGGGCGACATAGTAGAGAGCACCTTGTCCGAAGTCCTCTATCATAGTAGTTATCATAATTCCTAGCATCAGACCGTGGACCTGGTACATTCTCAGACGTTAGCTGGCATCGCAGTCGGCATCATCAGTTATTCCTGCCATTCTCCGCACCAAGCTACAGACTCGTCAAAGAGACAAGTTAAGTTAATATCCTAGGATATTCCTCGGCAACGGCTACCCAGGCGAAGTAATACAAAGAAATATGCGGGGCGTGAAAAGGCGGATAAGGATACCCAAAAGTGGATATGTCTATCTTCCTGCGAACTGACTCAAAAACTACAGCTAATATTAAGGAAATGGAATATTCGGATGGTCATGAAAGAAAAATCAACACTTTTTACAAGTCTACCGACTCAACATGAAAGGATAAACAAATAGGATTGCTCCGGAGTTTACTGCATAGCATGCGGCGCCATGCCATGCAAGAAAATGGATACCGAAAGATCACAATGTGCGGAACACATCACACAGACTGGACACGAGATCAATTGGAAGGCAACAGAAAGAAGGGCCCCATACAATGACAGCACAAGGAAGCGGAAGATTGGGGAGGCCCTTGACATCCTTAAGGGAAGAAATCTAACAAACGCGAAGGCAATTCCTGATATATGCAAGCATGGGCATCAAAATCTAGGCGCTCTGCTGGGTGAGACGGCAGTGTACGTGCTTCTAACGCCTTGAGAAATAGAGTCTTGAGTAAAACGCAGCCTGGGACTGGAACCGAGTGAAATCGGTCAACCAGAAAGATAATAAACAGATCTACGTGTCCTTGAGGATGATTCGAATAGGAGGCCCGAGTAGGATTAGCCGATCGAAAGAAGGTCAGGGTAAAGAGCTGGTGACAAAAAAGGGTACACATTTTGACCAGTGCAATGTAAACAAGTCAGGATTTGTGATATGGCGGGAGTTGGATTAGAGGGTAAGGAGCAGATAGATGGGCCAGGACAGGAACAGGAGAGTTAGTGTAACCGTTTTTGGCAGAAGGCTGGCCGAGGGATTGACATTATTTGGTGCGAAGACTGGCAAGAATCAATGATGATGCCGACTACGATACCGGCTAACGTCTGAGAATGTTCCAAGTCTACTGTCGATGCTGGGAATTATGATAACTGCTATGGCAGAGGACTTGGGACAAGGTGCTTTCTATTATGTTGTCCTGCCAACAAGAGTAAGTTACAAAAACAAGATCAACCTACTACTCAAATGTATAAAAACTTCCGCTTTCACCGCAATTGGGCTAAGAGGAAAATATATAATTATATTACTCACTTAATTCGACCTACAGTTGTAATATGAATACTAGCACTACTTATTTTATTTCGATTGACCTTGTCAGAACATAGGTAACCTCATTGCATCATGTACTTTCACCCATAAATTGGTTTCGCTTTATTAATCCAGATAAGCCTATTCAGCTCATTTATTTTGTATTTAGATGTATTTAAGTGGACATTCATGACAGCAGTTAACATGTTTATCCTGCATGCAATCTATATTTAGCCTTTAAACACATTTTCTGAGCATATAGGGATGGTTTCATACGCATTCATGCATTTTGGCACACCTCCAATTCAACCTAGTTGTACGCTAGACTTCTTAGACCCACGATTAGTTAAGATCGACAAGTATTTATGCTTACTTTCTGCATATTCTAGAACTCACTGGAAATCCTAAGGTATGCTTCCAACTGTTGCTAGTACTTATTTACAACATTCAGGAATGCGATTCTTAAGAAGCAGCATTTTTTGGATGGTTCTTATAGTTTAAGATAATATCTGATTTAGCAATTGAGTTATCTCGTGCTAACAATAT